TTCCATATTTTCATGAGTGTAATTCATATACTAATTTGTAGTATTTTCCCATAGTGTTTATCTGCATTTCAGACAGTAATTAATACCATTGCTTAAAGAGCACTACGATAACAGGATAGACCACCTACAGACTGTGTTGTTTTAAATCAGTGTAAGCAAACTGATAAGGACCAATAATAAAGTCCCTTCCACACGGAGTAGTCTCCACTAGGAGTCTGCTTGCTCAGCAGGGGACCTTTCCGCTGATCCCCACTGAGCAGGCGGATGGTTGGTTTGTGTTCATTCCACATATGCAGAGTGGATAAAGACACAGTCCTCTTTCCTCAATGGGTGGTCAGATGTAAATGGACCACCTGTCCGTTAGATTAGATGGAAGGCGGCCCACATCTGTCTGTTTTTAGCAGATCGAATGTAGGCAGTTGTAAATGGATACATGTCCGTTTACACCTGCTGCTCCATAGAGGAGAATGGAGGTTGCAATTGGATGCTCCTAAAAAACTATCAGGAGGACCCAAATGGGCCACCCATGTGAAAAGGGCCTAATGCACAGTCAGTGAGCAGCATCAAGCATCAATCAAGCACATATAGGGGATGATTTACTAAAACTAGAGCACTCAGAATCTAGTGCAGCTGTACATGGTAGCCAATCAGCTTCTAACTTCAGCTTAATCAGGTAAGCTTTGACAATAAAACCTGGAAGCTGATTGGTTCCTATGCACAGCTGAACCAGATTTTTCTCTATCCAGTTTTGGTAAGTCTGCTCCATAGTGTTTGTAAATAAGACCAGCCAAGGACATAAATCATAAATAAAACATTTTTCTTACATTAACATACTTTAATAAGACTAATTAAAATGATTTTTATATTCAAAGGGGGATTCTGCACAACCAAACCAATATATATACTATATATTTTTTGTATACATTATATGTAAGTATATACACATTTAAGAAAGGCTTTACTGTAGATTCATAGTCTTAGCAGCAGACAAAGGTTAACTATTTAAATGATGTTCAAATGTATTTATTATATAGAAAGAATCTGCTGTTATTTCTATTTATATTGTCCTGCAAGTAAACAACCTTCAAACTGACTTAAATAAAATGAAATATTGAAATGCACAAAGATCTATTCCATACCCCAGAAGGAACTGCAAAACACGTAACCCACAGAATTCTGTTCTCCAAGCTGAATGGAACCTATTGATGAACCAAGTGAAGCATCAAAATATAGATTCCAGCCAGAATTGCATCTCAAGGGAGCCTGTAAATGTGACCTGACTTGTGTGGGCAAAAGCTGTGTTCTTTGCTGAATGAATGATTATAATTGGGTGTTCTAAAACTGTAAAATAAACTCAAGCAATTGAACCCTAATATAACTGAATACTGCAATTCACTGGTTCTTCCAATTCTTTTGGTTCCATGCAGTTAAGGGAGGTCAGTAGGTTATACATGACCTACTTAGAGGACTAAACCAATGATATAGTTGGATATGGTTCTGTGGTCACAATATTATGACATGTCATTGTATTCATGGTTTTTGATGATTGATTAATGAAGTTTGATATTGTAATCAGTAGTCAATAAAACAATCTTAACTAGTGATATGTAATCCATTTCTATGGTAATTATTTGGTTTTTTTTGAGAATATAATTTTATTAATGCTGTATTCTTACTATTAGGAGTGTGCTGTTTGTGTTTTTGATTTCTTGTGAGTGCAGACAAGTGTGGGATCATTTAGAAGAGGGATGCTACAAATATTATCCACAAATTATCACATGATTGATTACAAATTAGCAAATAATAGCACTTAAATTACTATTATTACATACCCTGTATACCATTTTGTGTAAAGAGGTGAGTTGGGTTTTTGATTCTGGTGAGTGGCAGAACAAAGTGGTTGGGATCATTTAGAAGAGGGATGCTACAAATATTATCCACAAATTATCACTGCACTTAAATTACTATTATTACAATACCCTGTATACCAATTTGTTGTAAAGAGAGTGAGTGTGGGCTCACCCCCCCTTTCCCCACAATGGACAGCATGCCACAAGTCAGTACATCCCAAATCAGGTCTTGTTCCTCCCATTAGGAGACAAGAGTGGTATGAAATTATTTATCCTGGTCATACAGAATGGTGGTCAGAGAGAAGGACATGTGTTGTATGCATATTTTTGTCAAGGGTGCCTTTACATATATAATATTTTGCATGGCACTCCAAGTGAGATCAGGCTCCATGCTCCACAAGTGTTGTTTCTGGCATGAAACATGTCAGAACAACATATGCTATGAAGGTCTACATATACCCTTTTGTATAAAGAGGTGAGTTGGGTTCAATCACCCTTCCACACAATGGGCAGCATGCAGTAATAAAGGCAGAACTTCCCAAGGTCGGGTCTTCCCCTCCCACTAGGAGACAAGTGTGGTATTAAAATATTTAGTCTGGTCATATAGAATGGTGGTCAATGGTTGTAATCTGTTTGGGTTTGCTGGTGGATCCCCCTTCAATGTGGCCTTCTTGCCCATCTCAGCCTTTGGTTGATACAACTATAATGCAGTAATGTTAAGTAATACTGCTGGATGCCTACATAGGGGTGCCACACACCTCCATCCACATTTGCTGACAATGAACATAGCATTGAAGATTGTTATGAAAAAGCTGTGTCCAACCGTTTTGGGGATCATCATACTCATCTTTGTCCAGTGTTACATATATAGTTACATAGTTAGTCTGGCTGAAAAAAGACAAAAGTCCATCCAGTTCAACCATTAAAAAAAAAAAAGTTATAATCCTATACTCACAGTTGATCCAGAGGAAGGTAAAAAAAAAAAGCATGATCCAATTTGCTCCTGCAGGGGAAAAAAATCCTTCCTGATCCCATTTGTTTAGTACTGCTTGGACCTTGAAGAAGGGGACACTCCCCGAAAGCTTGTCCTCAAAATTGTATGTTAGTGCAAATAAAAAAAAGCTTCCTGATCCCCCGAGAGGCAATTGGATATTCCCTGGATCAACTTTACCTATAAATGTTAGTGTGTCTAAACATTTCTAGCACTGTGACCTGATGGATAAGCATTGCACATTTCTTCAAAGCTGTACTGTTGTACTGGAGTTAGGCATTGGAGCAGTACATTCTGTCATACATTTTTTATATGCTTGATCTAATAGTTTTTACCCTGTCATTGTTGTCATTTCTGTGAAGAGGCAATTTGCAGCAGTAAATATTTCTGTTGTTAAAAAAAAACTAGTGTCTGTGAGTTGTTCCTGTGCAGGGAAGCATCGATTTTAGTTCCTCAGTTTGGTAGCGGGTTTGTGTAAAATTTGTTCAGTTGCCTGGGAACCTGATCATTACTCGCAATGCAATAATTATTCCAGTTTTGAGGATTTTTATTTTTAGGAAGACCACAGATCAACCTCCCAATGGGCTTATGTTAATTGCTGTGCCTTTACTGCAGTTTACACTGCATTATAACTATACTTTTTTCCCATGGTTATCTATGACCTCATTGGCACTGAGGCTCTCATTCAGTTCTTTGCCAGTGGGAACTGTATGCAGCTATTTATATCAATTTCTAATATAGGCCCTGAGCAATATTCCTGTTATCATCAGTTTACTTGGTCTGCAATCTTTATGATATTTTGAATGGGGGTCACGGGTTTAGACATCAGACATTGTAAATAATATAAAATGTAAACAATTGTAAATAGTGTTTTTCCTGTCATTTGACTTATGATGCCAGTGAAAATCATCTTTTGCTCACTGCTTCCATGGGTTTTAGGCAGCTACCTATATCAGTTTACCTTTTTTTAACAGTAGAATGTCTTGTGTTTGTATTGTTTGCTTTGCTTCAAGTGTCCATATGGCATTGTGCAGACTTTGGACTTATTTTTTTCCAGTAAACTTTAAAATCTAAGTAAGCATTGGGATACAAGAATAGTGACATGTACTACCTTAAATGTTAAAGCTGAACTCCAGGAAAATTCAAAACTAATCAGTGCGGTACACCCGCATTGTAAGGATTACATGATTATTTTTGTCAAGGATACCTTTAAATGTAAAATATTTCACATGGTACGCCAGGTGAGATTAGGTTCCATACTCCACAATTATTGTGTCTGGCACAACACATGTCAAAATAGAACTTGTTCCTGCAATCTTAAGAAAGGAAGATTATTTTGCATTTTGATGTGTGGCATTCCTATTGCTGGTACAATCGATGATTTTAAATGTAGCTTTACTTTCCTTATCAAATACTTCTGCAAGCTTCCTCCAATTCATACAACTGTACCCCATGCAAGCTCTTCTCTTGGTGGCCAATCCATCAGTTGCACTTTGACATCATCATGTACAATACAGGACCAGCCCTTCTGCATTGTAATTGAGGAAGCTGGGGGCCCATCCACAACCCAGAGCGCTAAAGATAAGAAGAGAGTTCTGGCTACTGGGAGAGTGAGGTGTAAAGTAAGATAAATAATGGTCCCCTATACAAAAATGAGCAATGACTCCCTCCCACACTGCAAGGGTTGTTCCAAATGTTCCCCTCAGTTCAACTTCAAATATCTTTAACCACTAGCCTACAGGGCACTTATACCCCCTTCCTGCCCAGGCCAATTTCCAGCTTTCAGCGCTGTCACACTTTGAATGACAATTGCACGGTCATGCAACATTGTACCCATATGAAATTTTTATCATTTTTTTTGAGACAGATAGAGCTTTCTTTTGGTGGTAGTTAATCACCTCTGGGATTTTTATTTTTTTTTAAACAAACCAAAAACCACTGAAAAGTTTGAAAAAAAAATGTTTTTTCTTAGTTTTTTTATACAATTTTGTAAATAAGTGATTTTTCCCCTTCACTGATGTGTGCTAATGAGGCTGCAGTGATGGGCACTGATAGGCTGCACTGATGGACACTGATAGGTGGCACTGATGGGCACTGATGAGGAGGCACTGGTAGGTTGCACTGATGGGCATTGACAGGCATCACTCATGGGCACTGAAAGGCAGCACTGATACATGACACTGATATATGGCACTGATAGGCGGCACTGATTGGCAGCACTGATAGGTGGCACTGATTGGCATTGATAGGTGGCACTGACTGGCACTGATGGGTGACATTGAAAGGCAGCTCAGATGGGCACTGATATGTGGCATTGATGTGCACTGGTATGCACTGATATGTGGCATTGATGTGGCACTGATGGGCACTGGCACTGATGAGCACTGACAGGTGGCACTTCTGGGGCCAAACTGATCATCAGGGCAGACTGATCATCAGTGCCCTGATGATCAGTGTACATGTCCCCTCCGCAGAAAGCCGATTACCGGCGCTCCTCTCCTCTCGAGCTGTCAGCGTGACAGCTCGAGAGGAGAGAAATGCCGATAACCGGCATTTCCGTGTTTACATGTGATCAGCTGTGATTGGACACAGCTGATTACATGACCGAGCCGACATCTTCGGCTCTTTCTGTGATCCTGCGGACACAGCGGACCGGCGATCACCGCGCTGTGCGCTCCCTGAGCCGCGTATGTGCAGTGAGAATGGTAGGACGTCATATGACGTCCTATCAGAACGAGAGAACCACCTTGTGCCCTTCATTGTACTATAGGGCGGGTGGAAGGTGGTTAAAAAAAATGTGGATTTCAGTTTGAATGGGTGACTGTACCAAAATACTAGTAGGGATGAGGTTTGGGTTCACTGCTACCATGGGTTCACAGCTGATTCCTGGGATTTGTAAAGTTCTTAAATACCAAACTGTAGGCCACAAAAAATTCTAGCTTGTCACCATAATAAATAAGAAACAACCTATAATGCAGTGTATAGCTGTTGCCAACCACCCCCCTCCCCACCACCAACACCTTTAGCTGAGTCCCAAGGGTCAGTCATTTGAAGGAATGAATAACCAAGTCTTGTTTCTATGAAAGGGGTGGGCTCACAGCAAGCATATTATCAGTGTGTATTGGACCTGTTAGACCTGACAATTCTGTGTAGAGAGATAAAGCTTTTTTTCTTTATTTTACATGGCAGTTCCCTCCTGTTCTACAAAAACCTGGCTTAAACTTTTCCTATTAGCCATACAAATTGAATAACAAAATTCATCACCCACAAACTTCAATGGGCTTCACAGCAAATTAGTAAAACTGTTCCTGAACTTAAAACAGGCAAATTAGCTCATACTTAGTTATTTTATATCATAACAATTCAAAGAGGAATATTTCATTACTGAAAGCACCCTACTACTTTTGTAATGGAACAATTGCCAATGAGGACCGCAGAGGTAGACATGCTATAGGTCATGATTTACCTTGCAAATTGAACAGCCTATGTGCCTTTAGTTTGTCATCCCATATGCGTTAAGACAGAACATTTACTTTGAATGAGCCCTTAATGAACCTTAACACATGAAAAAATATAACATATGGAGCTCACCACCTTGCACATTACAATCACATATGTGTGTTATGGCATGCCGAAGGGCAGGAGTGTCTGTTTATACCATATATGTGCACTGGGATGTCATTCAAAAATTAATGCCCCTTATCTTGTTTGTACTTACTGTATATCTATATTTTTTTTTCTTTATTGTGAGCTAAAAGAGTGCCCTAGAATCTATGGTAGGCTGAATAGTTACATGCCCTGGAAATATGCTGGTCCAATGTACCTCTATTCTTTTTCCCCTACACTTGGGGAGATTGCAACTCTTTTCTGACTTGCTTTGATGGATCAAAGTCTGGCACTGGAAGGTACTCTCCATTCCCAGTGGGCTGTTCTACATCCCTTTGTATATACTGTCTATTGTCTAAGCATCTACATCAGGTGGTATGTAGTATTTATAAGGATATGTAGCTAGATTTTTATGTCTTTGTATTTGCAGGATATAATCCTGCATGATGCTTAATATTACCTTTTTCTTAGTAGACTGTGACATTTAATTCAGTTCTTACTGAGGAACCGGGCTTGATCCCATGAAACGTGTTGAAGAAGTTTATCTGAATTATTGCTCATGGATATGTGGGGCTATGCTTACCAACTATTGGCAACATGTGCAACTGCAGTAAATACAAAAGATTTGAGTATGCCTATTGTGCACATTTTTATGGGGTTTGTACATATTTTTATCTTTTGTACACGTAAAATATGAATGTTATAATATATGGAATGGAACCTTAAAAATACTATACAGTTTATTTTTTGTTAGGGGTTTCTTTTCGTTCAGAATTTTCCTCCAGCTCTGACAGCCTGTACAGAGGTATGGGCAGAAAGCTAGATTAAGTGTTTAAAGAAGCCTAACATTGCGCCCACGATTCACTTATTGCAGTTGTAATGTTTTTCTGGCTCCTGTAATAAAAAAATAATACATACACATATTTTTCCTGCAAAAACATGTCCAATCATTACTTTTTCTAATAATAAAAGTGAACCTAGCTTTTCATGTGTACACAAACATATGCTTATAAGTGTGAATGGAGCCAATGGGATGGGGTGAAGGGATATAAAAACAGGTACAAATGAATGCTTTTGTACAATGCCTAAATAAAAATGTCTGTTCACCGTAAAGTTTCTCTGGGTTTAACGGTCTGCATGTTTTAGTGATAGAGGTGAAGGGTATGAAGCAAATCAAATGTTTCTCTGGGAGCTAATCTACATCAATATATTTGGCTCAATTCCATTTTTATAAATTGACTAACCCTTCCATTGAACGTGGCACTGGCTTATAAAAATAGGTCTCATGGGGCTCCTCTTTGTAAAGACTTGCAAATAGTTACCCATTTACATATTGTCCCCAAAAAAGGTTAGTTATCCTTAATGCCAAAGTCCCTATGTGTGAAGAAAGGCCACACAGGGATATAGATTAATGTAAATACAAGAGCAGTACACACAGTGTTGTTTTTTTTCCATACAAATCTTTTATAAGGCTGCCTCAGTGCTGTGACTATGAAACATTGGGGCGCTGTGATTAAAATTAATAGTGCTTCTTCTGCCATCATTTGTCACATATTTACAAGCCTGAAAAATACTTCATTTTTTTCATGATCCTATAATTCAAAAGACTGAATCAAAAGCCTGAAGGAATCTGACAGCACAGGACATTTATTACTGCATTCAAGTCATGTCAATGCCACATTTGTAGGCAGTGCTTTTATTAACAGGAATGTATGGTCTTTTCAATGATTTTTTTTAGATGTACGAATAAAAGATTATCTCAATGTAAACAATGCTTTCAATTTGTGGTAATGTTTTAAAAAAGCTTTGTTGTTATTTATAATTTGTACACATGTACATAAGGGTAACTATATCGATTCAGAATACTGTTTTGCAGTTCTACACAGTAATTTGTTGTGTTGAATTTGTGTTTCTTTTTTCTAATCCAAATACAAAGCTTGCTCTGCTGGGTAAAGCCCAATTCCAGGCAAAAATTAAATTCAAATATTGCATTGTGCATTAATTACCTTACCTCTCACTCTAGATTGCAAACACCACTTCCTAAGCCACCCTTCAGTGTAATGATTTTATAATCACAGTTTTTCTGTATGAGCCAAGCTCATTTCCTGCCCTGTGGACCAGGCATTTCCTCCCAATTATTATTTTCTTGGGTACTGGTCACTGTGATTTCTCCTGCCTATGGAGCCTATAAGAGAGGACCTTGCCACTGGAAGTATTGCCTCCACTAATAGGAGGTGTTCACATCACACAGGCAGTGAGGTAGACATCCAAAGAAGTGAGAAGGATTGTCACCTGACCATGGCTTCAGGTAAGTGAAATGGGCATTTGGATAGGTTTCTTCATACTAGCAGTTAGTTATAGGGGGGTTTGAGCATGGCTGCTAATAAACCTGGAGTTGGGCTTCAATCTAAAAATCTCTATACTTAAACTCAACTTTTTTCTGAGAGAAACTGGTAGGCTACTTTGCTAACTTTATTATAAAAATGCTAGTTGTTTGGATATTATGCTGACCATTTAGAATCAATACATTCTAAGATGCTGACCTTGAAAAGTCAGGGACAAATTAAAAATCAAGCATGTTCAAGAAATCAAGAAATAAAGCAAGTTAACTTTAAAACCTTAAAAAAAAAGCAATGCCTCTCCTGCTGGATAGCAAGGGTTCAATATGTGTTTAGCCTAGGAGGTGAAAATGTAGAAAAAGTCAGAAAATACTGATGATAAACAGCCCCTGTTTATTGGACATGAGCATTCCCCTTGCCATTACCATCATGTACAATGCAGGACCATCACAGGTACATGGTACGTTAAGACGTTAAGGGACTGTCCACTCCATAGGAAGGCACTGAGTGAGGGGAATGAGGAATGAGATAAATATTCCTCTATGTTCTACCTCCACTAGACTACCCCCTACTACCTGTCAGGGATCCACATAATACTCATTTTTAAAAGCTGGCCCTTGGAATAAATGTAAACTTTTAGAGAAAAAGTTGATAACAAAAAATGTTGCTTTTACCGCTAACAATGATGATAATTCTGTTAAATACATGGTGCATAGTATAGTGTGCGGATATGAGGGCCCACCCTCATTCCAGAGAGACAGACTAAATGAGAATTTACCTTCCAAGAGGAGAGACACACTATGACTATTTTTAAAAGTTCACCAGAGTTCAGTTTTAACATTTAGAATTTAACTTTTTGGAAAAACCTTAAATACACAAAGATGATTGGTTTTGTAGCAAAAAAATTTGGTAATTATGGAATTAAAGAGTGTGCTTGTTTTTGGGCAACTTGTAGGTGAAATTAAATGCTGAAGAATGGTGCTACTTAAATTCATAGCTTACTGTTTAAAGCTACATTCAGACAGATGCATAGCAGTACATTGTTTGCAGCATTCAGAGGCGGCTAGGCGCAGCCTCGGAGCACGGCGACAGTCCATGCTATGGCTGCAAAAAACTGGCCAGTTAGCTGCGGCAGTTTTTTTGTGTGACCAAAACTCAGCAGAAATGCTGACTCTGGAGGCACATTGGCTTTGTCTGGGGTCTCTCAGAGGCTCTATTCTCAAGTAACCATTCAGATGAGCAGTTACAATGTAAACAGCAGCAATATACACCATAGATTTGTACAGTACAAATTTGACAGCTGAAGCTGTTCTTACAAAGTGTGGTTGATTTACTAAAGGCAAATAGACTGTGCACTTTGTAAATGCAGTTGAACTTGTTTTTTCCCAAAGTTTAGTGAATGTGGTAAAGCTCTGCTGATTTCCATCATCCAATCATGAGCAAGCAAAAACATTTTTTTTTAAATTTTCCTATTGAGAGATTAGTACAATTGACTTTTTTGCCAGATTTCCGGATTGCACAAGGCACAACTATAGATGTATAAGGTATGCAAATATAGACTGATGGGGTCTTTACACAAATGCATCAAAAATCATGTTCAATCACCATTTGTGTTGGTAACTTTCAACCTTTACTGTTATTATAGTAGCTGCC